GACTGCTGTGCCATGGATCTAAAGGAATCTGGCAGAAATGGCTTTCAATAAAAAATGCCAATATACTCCTAGACTTGGAAAATGGAAAGAGAAGCAGGTGTGATACCTGTCCAGCACTGAGCAGTTTCTGAGATAGAATCAAAAATTAGCACCAGGAGTGGCTCATGATGTATATCTTGAGCTATTAAGACTTGGCAAAACTGAGATGGTGCATCTGCCATGCTTTCAGTGCATCGGAAAATCAGACATTAATTTGCTGTTGCCTCAACTTTTGAAGAGCACAGTGAAGGAGATCCAGAAGCTGAATGGCCTCCAGAAACCATCTGGGGAGATGGGTTTTGGTGTTCTTAATCTGAAGATACCTGGAGCTTTTTGCCACCTCTGTTGTCCTTTGACAATGTCACAAGTGGTAGCTTGCTGTAATAGAGTGATCACAGCGTAGATGCTGTAAGGCAGCAGCAGGCAGTGATTTACAGGTCCTGTAGGTCTGTGTAGGAGCAAGAAACATCTTCCAAAGGAGACAGAAGAGCTAGCATGACTGCAGTCATGGCCTTGAGGACTTCATCCTTGGCAAAGCAGGAACATGCCTGTGGCAAACTAAGGGAACTGCAGACACAGACAAGGTGCTGCAGCCTGGGCCTCCATCCTGTGCTCCAGGGAATGGTGCTGACAGGGGTTAATTCTGCCTGCTTGTCTTGTAGCACTGCAGGTCCATGAAAGAACAGCTGAACAGGTAAATATCTGTCTTTGTCAGTTTTTGACATAGCTCAGATATGTGCATATATAAAAGGCCAGTGCTAATGGTGTATTTCCAAACTTTATTACAGAATTTATAAGATTCAAATACTTGCTTTCAGATCTTCCATTCAATAAAAAATAATAATAAAAAAAGTAAAAAAGTGAGTCCTTTTGGGCATGTATTTAGAATATTCCCTTTTCCTCTTACAAACCAAAAATGAGAAAATTTTCTTTAATGATCCTTTGGCAAGATGCAAATTTACAGAAGGGGGAATTAGGAGCCCTAAAGCAGCCAAGAGATGCTCTTTTCCAAGTTGAGCTTGCTGCCAGTGCAAAGAACAAGGTGAGCCAGATTTCATTTACTACCTGGAATATTACAGCAGGGAAACCACAGGGAGAGGTGTGCACTGTCTGGTAACACAGCTGCTTCACAGGCCCTCTTGAGCTTCCTAGGTGCTGCCAGGGCCACCCTGGTGATTCTTGTGAGCCCCGCTCCTTTGGCAGACACCTGCACCAGTTCAATCTGGTTTTGAGCTCCAGTGTTTGTAGTGAGGGGGTGACAGGGCCAAACTACACTATTTACTCCTAATATCTAAGCTTACTTATCTGTGACATAAATGGAAGTGCTGATTTGGATTAAATGCTTGAGTTTAAACAATTCATTTGAGAAACCCTAAATAAATGAGTCAAGGAAAAGGAGAGAGTGCTTTAAAATTTACTAAACACTATCCATTACACAACTATCAAAGTTCCCATCAATTTCAAAACCATAAAATCTCTCCCACTTTAATGCAAATTTCTATTAGAACAATATTTTGTGACTATATTTTGTAGAGAAAACTGAAATCTTGCAGTAAGATTTTCTGATCTCTTTTTTCTCATTTTTTGTACTTCTGGCAAATTAAAGAAGTCATTATGGTATAATAGAAAAGGACTCGGTAACAATTAAAACGAATGAGGTTAATGAATTGTATCTGAAACACCGGTTTTTTATTCAGAAATGTTGTTTGGTTCAGATGCCATTTTATGCCTCTATTTTATGTAGTATAGTTTCAGACAAAAAATAGAAAACTCTATCTGTGATATACAAACAAAATCACAGTAATTATGTGCAAAATGTGAATGTTTGAGGATAGGACTTGTTCTTGTTGGCTTTTAATTTATTGCTGACTAACTGCCCCTGCTCTATGTGCCTGTTTTGATTAATGCGGTAGTGTCTTGTCCACATGTGCCTGAAATTCTGAATCTTGTAAATTGTGCATAAAAGAATATGCTTAAGATTTAAACAATTGAATCTGAGCTGCACTTATTTATGAATATTTTGTTTAACAAGCTAGTTAGGAGAAAAAAATCCATTATAGAAAGGTTTCAAGATTTTCTGGAATAAAATTTAAAAAAAGGTGGAGTTTTGAGAATGAATCTCTCCAATAATATTCACGAAAATAACTTCAGGTGTTTGGCATCCCTGGGTCACCCAGATGAAATCACAGGGATAGAGCTCTGCTGTTAAACCAAACCATACCCTATCCCAGATCCTCAGAAGTATTTAGAAATAGCTGTCTTGTATTCTGTTCAGGCCCAGGTCCTTCCAAAGGCTGACAGCACCAAGCTGGTGAATTACAGAGCAGATGTGTGAGAGTTGAAGCCAATGCTGAGCAAAACGACTTTGTTCTGGCAGCTTGCCTGACTTTAACCTTGCTGTGCATGACCCAGCTCCAATACCAAAGTTTTTCAGGCACACAGAACTACTTTTTCCCAAAGGTGACTATAAGAAAACTCTAGGTAGAATGGAAAACTGTTCTTTTCAACAATTATTTCTCAAACTTCAGGCCAGTACCTTTTTGGCAGTCCTGAAAGAGCCTAAAGTGGGTTGGTCAAATATCATGTGGCAGCAGTTGTCTCAGGGTAGCAGCAGCTGTTGCATTAAAAAGGGATTACAGTCTAAGACTGTGGTTGCAGGATTGATAACCACCTTAAATTGCTGACAGCAGTTTCTTTTCTCCAAGGCAAAGGAGTGAATATGAACACTTGTAGCCAACTATAAGCTCTTCTCTCTTGACTGATATGGAGGTTCTAAGTTGCTGGAAAGTCTAATTGAAGGTAAATGAGATGAACCAAATGGAGGTGACATTTTCAGATTTGCATAAACCAGCCCTAGATATTTCAAGATTCTCTTGCTGAGTTCAAACAATCTATTCTCTGCATTTGTTCTGACAGTGATATGTGAAATTATTCCAGCACTTCTCACAGCTCCTTTTACTCTTGCAAAAGATAGACACATGGACACATGTCCTGTATCATATCTTCTAGAACATTTTAAATTATTAACCATCAACTAAGTGTTTACAGTTTTATTGGAGTAACTGTTTCACCTTCTTGCTCTGTTTCATTATAAAGCTTGATGTGTTCTACAATACCTTTTGTAGCTTTGATATACAAGCAGTTTTGGTGATCTCTAATTTTGCAGTCTTCTATAACTTGCTTTTCTCAACAAAATTCCTCTAAGGCACTAGATTGCATTGTCACAGATCCATGATAGGAAACAGGAGGAGGAATGGAGGGAACAAATTAGCAGTAATCATAACCTCTGATCACATACATAATTATTTAGTGTACCTTTCGATTAGCTAATTTCAGTATTCTGCCAAAAGTCAACTTGCATTCAGAGTGTGAAATACTTTGTATTCAAAATGCATAAAGGATCTGTTTGACTTGAATTCACTTGAGAAAATTGCACTTTACTGCAATGTAAGCAAAGGGGAGGAAAAAAATGCATTTAAGCAGGGTGAGGAAAATGGACTATGCACTTCCTGTCTGATCAGACTCCTCATATACCTGAGACTGACCCTTGTAAAACTATTTTAAAATTGCTGTACTTCAGAAGGATGAAGATAAATTAAAAAGTGCCTATCACTATTTTCACTGGTAAATCAGAAAGTAGATAAACTCAACACTTGACAAGAGATCTAGTGATAAAAAGCAGACAGAACACTGACCAAATGAAAAAAATGTGAAAACTTCATTAAACTGTATAAAACTTGACTGCATTATCAACTCAAATCTTTAGACCCTTGTCAAAGTTTGGGTTTTCTATATTGGCATTTGCTAGGAAAACCTACTATGAATCTAGCCAATAAAATCATACTACAAGTATACTTGTGTTCCTGAAATTGCAGGGCTGCATGTAGTCCTCAGTTCTCATTTGTCAGAAAAAAAATTGACTAAAATTCTGAAAGTATTGGAACTATTTAAACTATAAGAACAGTGAAAGTCAAGGAACTAGGGGTTTTGTGTCTAGCAGCTGTATTCAGAGTTGAGTCTAGTCACTCTAAGGAGAGGTACCTGTAGCATCACCAGTGTGGTCAGATTCCCATTTACCTGAAGGAGATTCCCCCCTCTGCCATCAGCAGAACATCAATGGTAATTCCTCTGATTCCTCATCAATTTTGATAGGATTCAGCATCACAGGAAGTAGACAAACACTTGTCAGTGCCAATCGTGCCAGAAGAGGCAGAAGATTGGAACAGCACGACTGAATTGGTCTTATTTAGAGTAAATTAATATCTCTTTGACATAATCAACGTAACTCTGTGGTGAGAATGGTTTGTTTATGTCTTCTTGCTACTGCCTTGGCAAAATACATCCTATAGATTAGGAGGATTAAAGGACCCCTTGACATATTTAGTTTAGTTTCATTTCATTTCATTTCATTTCATTTCATTTCATTTCATTTCATTTCAACCTCTTCTCTGTTTCTTGGACTTTATTAATACTGTTTCAAACCTGTACTTCTAGTGGTTCAGTAGCAGTGAAAATGACCTTAGATTCCCAAGCCTTGTGGCATGTAAACAGTATATCCTGACACAGAATAACCACTTCCATCCACCTTAGTTTGATGGGATGAAGAACCACTTCTTTCCTCAGCTCCAGGAAATGCTGCCAATTATGCCTCCATTGCTGGTGAGATGAGTTAATATATGGAGCAAGTTCTGCTGGGATGCTGGACACTTTTATCTTGTGAAGTGCTCAGCTTGGCTAGCTGTCCTTTTTCATAAGGCAAATTGAAGTGCAGTGTCAGTATATCATGCTTAGAGGATCAGCAATGGTGTCAGTTAGGACTGAGACTGGGAAGAATGGTCTCCCAAAGAAGTTGCATGTCTGGCTATTTTCTCTCCTGTTTTTTTTGTTTTGTTTTTTTTTTTTTTTTTTTTTTTTTTTTTTTTTTTTTTTTTTTTTTTTTTTTTTTTTTTTTTTTTTTTTTTTTTTTTTTTTTTTTTGGCTCCTAATAGTCACGGAAAAAGAGATTGGCAGTGCCTGTTCTTCTTTTTTTATTGCTGGTATGTTGCATATTTAAGGCAGAAGGGCCTCTCTGGTTGTGTGAATGGGACTGTGTTCTAGCCCTTGCTGTGCTAAAAGATTTGGCACTGTGTGTGTGGAGGCAGCTTTGCAGAAGTCTCAGAGAAAGATTTCCTGCCAGCAGCATCTGTGGAGATGGAAACAGCCACTGCATTAGATCCATCGAGTTCTAAAGAAATGCAATAACTAGACCCTAATTAGCTATCTACACCCAAATGTTAAACATGGTAGGTTTTCAAATGGATGCCTAGCAAAGGCATTTTTCTGCCAGCTTATTGGACTCTGGATCTTACACTAGGCACCGGTGACGTCATATTAAATTAACTAACCCTTGAATTAATGCCAGGGAACCTTGACAGGAGACAGAACATGACTGTCCATTCTATTAAGATAATTAGAAATGTCCTGGAATGGCTTAGGGCTTTCCCTTGCTTTTCCCCAAAAAACTGCCAAGCAGCTTGGGTTTTAACACAAGCAAGAGAGAATTCTTCATCACTGTGGTTGTAAACATCTTATTTTGCAGTATAAAACACTGTGACTGTTGGCCATTTTGTAACAGTTGCCTTCAGGGCCAAAGAATGGTACTAAACATATTTAAACTATGATTTCAGATGAAATTAAATGTGTGAGAGTCTAGAAAAAATGGCAGAATCCCTGATCAATCCTAATGGTGTTTGCACTTCTGAGATAAACTGGTTAAATTTTAAGAAAAGGAAACAACAAACATAATGAACCGAGGATCTGACCTGATGTAGTTTTTTGCTAAGTTTTACACAGCCAGCCTTTGTCCTCTGCAGGCTGGAGGGATTTGTGAGTGAATTAAGGCTTTCATGTTTCTTCAGGTGTTGCTGTCACAATGCCACCATGTAGATGCAAGTCTGCCACACCTTCAGGATGTACAGTTTGCTCTAACACAACTGTACAAGTACACCTTGGCTTCTTAATTTTGGAACAGTTCTGCTCTGTAATGTCCTGGGCCAGTTCTGCTGCTAGGTTAATGGGAAATTTTCTAGCTGCAAAATTATGAATATGTTCTTCTTATTCACAAGTTCCCTGATTCCTTTTGCACCTCATGCTGCTCCATTCTGAGCATCTGGCTGGTGACAGAACAACTAGTCAAGAAATGAAGATGCCAGCATGTCTCAGTGCTGAGGAATAGTGTCTACTCACTGTGAGGCATGATGGGCTACTACAACCTTCTAGGATGCCTTTGCAGAGGTAACAGATTGTGTCCAAACTGGTGAGCCTGAGTCCATTCTACCTGCAAGGACAGAGAGAAAGCAGGTACAGAAGTGAATGAGAGAAGAGTCTGTGGGTGTATATCAAAATGAACAGTAATCTTTACAGCAATGTGAAAAAGTGGATGCTATTAAATAAAATGTTTGTTTTAACCAAAATGGACAAGAATATTAAAATATGCCATTTGTCCCTGCATCTAGGTAATGGGTGTGAAATTGACTAACCAGACAACTTTTCCATCTCTGTAGATCAATACATTTCCAGGGACATATTAAGAAGGAATATAAACATTCCTAAGTTTCAATTTTTCTTTATTCATTTACATTCCAAACAATTACATATTCTATTTTGTAGGAATACAATTTATAATCCCTATATTTGGTGACACTGGGAGCTTAAGAATTTTTCTTCAGAATACTTGAGAAACAAAGTAACAGAAAATCTGAGTAATCATACTCCTTCTGAGAATGATGTAAAAGATGTAGTTTGCTGGAAGAAGATTGTGCAGCTTGTTGCATATGGATCCAAAGAAAAATGGGATTCAGTTAAGTGCTAAGATAAAATTAAAATTACAAATGCTAAAATGTCTTTGTTTTTGGAGAGTGTAGTGCTGCATTGGATATGAATTGGACTGAATAAAGAAAAGTTTGTTTATTTTAGCCTTTGAAAATTGTCACTTAACAGTAAAGGCACAAAGAGGTACTAACAATTTAGAAAGTCTTTCTGAGTGTTTTTGCCATGCAGTTTGTATGTAAAAGTATGTGTTTTCCCTGCTTTTACTAACATTTCTGGCAATGTGCATCATTCAGAGGTGAACTCTATACACTCTAGAGATCAGGAGTTACCCTTTGCTCTCAGTGTTATCTCATCCAATATCTTGACTGGTCAGGAACGAGAAATCCTTTTCTCTTCATCAAATGTGTTATTTCATTTTGTTTTTTTCCAAGTTTATATTCACATTTGTAGTAATATTAAAAATAAAAACAATGAAAGAAAGTGCCTCAGCTGCCAGCAAACAATCAGTTCATTACTGGGAGTGGTCATTACTACAGAGGTGATGATTTTACAGTGTTGTCACACACTGTAGTGGTGAAGCAAACTTTTTCTTGTCCCTTCTGTGCTCAGGTTCTCCCCAGCAGCTCTATAGCCTCATGTATCTTTTGCAGGCTACATACAATAGGAATTTCCACTTCCCTGCCACCTCTCACTCTGCCATTTATATAATTCTCACTCTGCCATCAATACCTCAACTCCTCTTGTTTTTGATAGATGACCCTGCATTCCTGATGAGCTGTTTGACTTGGAGGAATATTTGAAGAGTAAAACAAATGAATGAAAAAAGGTAAGCGATGGACTGGTTCTTGGAAGCAGCTAACAAACTAAACAGGTTTTGATAAGTAAATTTTGCAAGGCAAAGTTTTTTTACTTCACATAGTGGAACTATGAAATTTCTTTAATGCAAGCCTCTTTCAAAATTTGACAAATAGGTATGCAAAAAAATATTGGTGAGATAAATAGTGAATAATTAGAGTTATTAACATATCCATGAAGAAAATGTTTCTGAAAGTTCTCTAAAAATGTTAATACATCCATTACAAAATACTACTCAGGGAATTTTGGTCTTCTCATGGAGAGCCATATGGTCAAACTGATACACACTTCACTTAAAAAAAGAGTGATTTATATTTTCTGTAAAAAATTGGAATTAAATGTTTGTTGTGGATGGATAATAAGATTAATTTTCAGATTAGCTCAGTTGGTTAGAGCATGGTACTAATAATGCCAAGGTTGTGTCTGGATCCCTGTATGTGCAATTCACTTAAGAGCTGGACTTGATAATCCTTCTAGCTGCTTTTAAACTCAGACTATTCTGTACTTCTGTGATTTATGAAAAGGTGCAAAATCTACTTTTCCAGAGCCTTGTAGGGAGAGAATATTCAACCTTATGTTCCAAAATGGTACCCTTCATCAGATGCATTTGGAAAGGTGCTTTCACTCAAATTGTACATGTCTCTCTAAACATTGTCAGAGCACCCATATAATCATATAAAGAACACAGCTCGGAAGCAACATTGTAGAATTACAGTGCCACAGTACTTTTTACAGAAGGTTAAGTGGCAAGGAAAAGTAAAAAAAATTGTCATAAAAGTGCATGGAAGAAAATACCCAAAACAAGCCCCCAGAAAGATTGGCACCAGGCTCACAGATGTTCCAAGAAGTGAAAGAGTAGCTGAGTTTATTAGATAATCTCTTTTTAGTGAATAATTAACAGGTCAGCTTCAAAGTGTAACTCAATGTAGTCTGTTTTGTTTTCTTTTTGTGACAGTGACCTTTCACTTTTAATGTACAATAAAGGGTTATATCAGGTAATTCTGACACAATACAGTGGGAGATTGATCCATTTAATGTCATATTGATATAATTTTTAATTTCAAGTTACTTTCTGATAAGTATCCACATTTAATGGGATCACAAGTAATTAAGTACTGTGCCTATTTAATAGTTATGCACACACAAATGTTATATTAACACTGTTGTTAAGGTCACAGTATTAGTCATTCAAGGGGTTGGAAATGTACCTTTTGTACATGTGTTTTTACAAAATTGGGGATTATGTAGTATTTATTTCATAGGCCCCTTCCCCTTTTTTGAATAAAGCATGGATATGACCTGAGTTTATTATATTCAAGAGACTATAACATATATTTAATAGGACTGCTTCCATATTCATGACAGAATTTGAGTAGTGACACAACCAAGGCTTCCAGGGAGAAAATAACGGGTCAGTGGTTAAGGCAATTGAATGCTTTCTTGAAAGTTAAATTGTAACCTTGCCCCTGAGTTTGTAATTGATACTATGTGAGTTACTTTATCATAGGTGGCCACTAACCAAGTTCTTCAATATCTGATTGAAAATCTGATTTATTAAAACACTGAGTACTTAAATCTGGATCTGAAGTAAACGAAAGCTATAAGTGTCATGTACAAGTGACAAATCAAGTATGGCATGAAGTAGTTATAAAAAAATAAAGTCCTAAACTGCTCTCATATGAGACATATAAGATTTTTGGGTAATTTTATCTTGGCTCTTTCCGATCTCGGAATTCTCTCTTGTTAGCTAAAGAAAATAGCATGCCTTGGTTCTGTATCAAAAATAACCTTGGTTTTGTACTTCAAAATAATTGTGCCAGTATTTTAGAAACAGTCTGCCAGAATGACCATGCAAGAAAAAATACTGGGGAAACCTGTAGTTCTATATTCAGAGGATTCTCTATTCTTACTAGGAGAAAATACAATAGATAGGACATAATGACAGATGGAGTTAGAGGAATAGTGGAAAATTTCTCATTAAATAAGCCCTTTCTATTCCAGTGCATTAAACAGGCTCCAAAACAAAAGTGGTAAATTACCATGTATACTAAAAGATAAAGGCAAATTATACACATGCAGCAGTGAAGCAATTGAAAGATTTACAGACCTGGTGTTCCCCATCTCCTGAGTATTTTGGCATAGCTCTGCAATGGGTGGATGTTTGTGATGTCTCCAACAGAGATACTTATGTCTTTTTCCTTGTGGAATACAAAGCCTATACCATGGGCATGTTAGAACCTAAAAATCTTTTCTGATCATGTCCTTGACAAACCAATGAGTGTATTTAAACAGGATTTTAAAGCTGAAAGACAAAACCAGATACAATATATGATAATTTTATTATCTCTGTGTAGGACACAGTGCTATCAGTACAAATGCCCACCGTCCCAGCCCGAGAAGACCATTTCCTATGGCTCTTTGGGAAGAAGCTTCCGTTCCTTCAGGAATGGGTCTGACAATTTAACAGTGTGAGGGTATTTATGGTGACAAAAACAAACGAGGTGTTGCAGAAATTGATTGTCCTCAAACAGAACAAGACTAAAAATGAAAATTGATTACTAAGGCAGGAAACAAGGTGACTGATACACTGAACTAATAGCTAATAGTATTAACAAGCTAATACATTTAGGTATCCATGAACAGGAAGCTGCAACAGTGAGTACTACTACTCTTACAGTGCTTTTTTACATAGCAGGATAAATGTATGGGGTAACTGGTGCTAGAGCTTGGTATGAACTCATCTGCAAAGAATTTCCTGTGTCTATCTTGCAGATTTCTCAGTGATGAGCCTTCAATCTTTGCCCAGGAGAGACCACCACATTGTCAAGCCTCTGACAGCATATCAGTAAAAAGGTCTATGAAAATACACTCTTCTTGCCTGTTACAAATGATGTGTAGGTATTATTTTAGAGGTTTCCCTGCAGTGGTTTATACTCTTATATTAAGAGCTATTATGAGCTATGTCTTTGCCATTTGAGATAGAATGCACTATTCAGCAGATGTGACAGTAACATGGTATCACACACACTTCACTTCTGTGTTCTTACCCACATCTCCTGCTAGGGAAAAAAAAGACAAAAAGCTTTGTCGTGGAGCAGGAGCAAACCAAATAGCCAAAGCTGTTTGTTAATTTTTCTGTTGACAATTCTGAAAGGTGAGGACACACACTGTTGAACTAGTTTTGCCATGCAATATGGTTAGAACAATGAAAAGGAACTGTGCATTTACCTTGGGAAAGTTAAAGTAGTTTTGTCATCTATCTTGGACTTCTAATTTTAACAAGACTACGCGATCGGAGATTTTACTCATTAGTGTGAGTGTGGAGGTAATTCCTTTGGCTTCACTAAAGAAATTAGTGTGTATGCATAGCCACGTTCGCGTTTCTGAACAAAAATCTTTACCCAAACAGGCACCTGTCCGCTTGGCCCCGCTGTTCCCATTCCCCGCAGGGAAGAGCACAGTTAACGCAGCATCTCCGAGTCCCGCCCGAGGCGCTCCGGCGCGGCGCTTGGATGCTATCCAGGCAGGAGCAGGGACCATGGGCCCGGTGCGGGGACGCGGGAGCCGCCAGGGCCTGTCCCGGGCCGGCCCGGGCGGCTGCAGGGCGGCGCGGCCGAGGGCTCCGTCCCCCCCCGTGCCCCGCTCCCTCCCGCCTGCGCCGCCGCCCCGGCGGTCCCATAAAGGGCGCGGCCCCGGCGGCGCTCGCCGCGGGGCGGCCCCGGCGCTGCCTCCGGACGGAGCTGCGCCTCCGCTGCCCGCCCCGGGCGAGCCCTTCCCCGGCACAGCGCGTCCTTTCCCCGCAGGCTCCTCCCGGAGAAAGCCGGAGTCCCCGTCGAGTCGCTGCCATGGCCTCCGTCCCCTCCGCCGGCTGCCTCCTGGCCAGGAACCGGTACTACAGGAGTGAGTGCTCGGCGGGGCCGGGAGCTGCCGGCTGTCCCCAGACACACACCCCACCCTCTCCCCTTCTTCCTTTCTCTCTGCCTGGGGAGAGCCTCTGGAGGAGGGATGCTGAGACCCCCGAGGCTCTCCCGAGAAAGTGGGGGCCGGGTTGTTGGCACTCAGGAAAAGTGTCGGAAAATGTTTCAGGTGATGTCTGGATGAGCTGGCGGCAAAGAGTTGTCTTTGCCTAAATAGCTTTTAATTTCTTGGAGAGTTTTTAATATCAAAGAACCTTAGTTTTAATGACCATCTTCTTCTGGTTATTAATCTACCTTTAAAAATTATTCTATTTAGAATTATTTATTAGTGTATTATACATATATATGTGTGTATATTTAATTATAAAACATGACCTAGAAAAAGTGCTAGCCTAGCAAGTCTAGGTTTTTACCTGTACTTCCTATTTGCTTCCTATTTACTTTGCAAATTTAGACACAGTACAAATAAATTCACATTTTTTTTTGTTTCTAAATATGTGAAATAATCACTTCTTTGAGAGTACACATGATGTATTAGGATTCCTAGGTCCACGATGGACACTAATGTGACTGAAGTATTTAGTTGTGTCACAAGGGAAAGCATGACAATTGGGTTGTTGTGGACTTAAATGTTCAAGGATGTATTTATTTGACAGCAGTGTGGCCATGATCTTAAGCCTTGTCAGTGATTTCTGAGGAAGTTATGCATACAAATCAAAGTATGTTTTTAAGGGAAGTGTGAGTAGAGTGAGAGAGAAACTGATATAAAAGTTCTTATGAAAACTGTAGTAGAACAGTTCCTATGTAGCTCAGTGGAATTGTTTCCCCTGAGGTAGCAGCATGTCTGAAAAACTCCTGATATATAAAGAGTGCACCCTCTCAAAGCATTTTTTTTCATTATGTGTGTCTCTGTTTTCCACGTACAGCAAGACTGAACTTGGAACCCAGCGTTTCTTCCAGCTTCTCCTGCTGTTTGGATGCTGTGAACATCACAGACCAGGACAAAGCATTGCATGGTATTGTTCCCTTCTTTGAAACACTTTTCAGTTTTTCATCCAGTATCTAATGTTGTGGGCTTTTCTCCTTTGTCAGGGTTACCAGAGTTAATTGAAAAATATTGGTGGATAAAAAGCTTCTTCCACAGTGAACCCTCTGCACCAACTGTTGGCAGAAAAACACTCTCAGCAAGCAGGTGAGTCTTGGTTTTAAAATGATGGGGATAACTTACTTGCTCTGCTTTCCTTTCGGTAACAGTGTTAGTAAACAAGTCATAATCAGCTAAAACCATCTGGTAAGGTGCAATTCTGTTTTGATGATTTAAGTAGAATATACATCAAATTTAATGCTATATAACCTTTCCACATTTTCATTTTAACAAATGAACTCATATGCTCCTTCATATTATGCAGGTGGCAGTGCCTATTAGTTTCACACGTATGGTGATGTTTATTTAATCATCTATGTATAGAACTTGCACAACCATTTATACAGTTAGGCCATTTTACTTTGTATTAAAAAGCTGATATGAATGCATTCAAAAATACTTAGGGAAATAAATAAATATCTTTGATATTTATCTTAGATATAAATACAGTGAAAATTCTATTTATCTTCTTTTTATATATATTTCTGCAGCACCAACAGTTGAAAAGGACAGCATAATGGCTTTTCTGACTGAGATGCTATGTACAGACTTGTTTTTCCAAGAGGGATCTTCCTAATGTTTGGGTTCAGCTGCAAGAAGAAAACAAAACCTTTAGGAGAGTGGGAAATTGTATTTTCAAAATATTTTTCAATACCTAAAATTATATTGCTTAATGGGCATATCCATGGCCTACTGTATTCTTTCCAGATTTGCCATAATTTGTGATGTCTCTCTAATGAAATTTTACAGGAATAAGCATCCTGATGACTTACTTGAATAATTAGAGAAAGGTGACAGAAAAAATAAGACATCATAGGTTTAGGAGGAAGATATGTATTTAATGACTTTGCAATAGGGATTCAGTTAAGTTGCCTTTAAGATACCAGCTCTATAGGCAGTCACACCAATGTAAACAAGATTCAGATCTATAATCTATAATAGGACTGCTGTGTGGCACATGTCTTTTATCCAGTATTTGTGTACTAATTACAGGGTGGAGCTATACAAGAACGCTTGTCAATAGCTTTGCTTTTAGAATGCCCAATTATATGAACAAACAATAATCAGTTTGGTTTCTTTGATCAGACAGATTGCATAGATTCTAGCTTCAAATATCCAGGTGCCACTTTCATTCCTACCTATGTATGCTGGTATTTGAAGACAGAATAGAGGAGATGCATTAAAAAACAGTAGTCCTAATGGAAACTGACCTCTTCCAAGGAGAAGAACAACTTTAATCAGAGTTGATACTTCTAGTTTGTTTTAGATTTCTTCTGCCAGCTTTGTTGTGGCTTAAAGATCTAGTTGTGACCAATTCTATCAATATTCTTATGTCTGTCAGATTAGTTATGAGGGCTAGATCTGGAAAAGGATTCCCCTCAAAGTAATCACTTTATTGTTGTTATCCAAGAGTACCTTTGTCGTGCTCTTGAAAGGCACTATAACATTGCAATGCTGAAGGCTAAATGAAACTAATTAGTATAATGCTTATTTAGTCTACTGGGTATGACTGAAATGCATCAAGGATTGTGGAAAATAACAAATATTTGGCTGGATTATAACATTTGTGACAAGTATCTATGCAACTTTTTGATGTACTATCATTAAACCTGCTGGATATTTGTCCATCACTGGATGATCTAACAGTGGCAAACATTAATGTAGGCAGCATCTTTTTATTATAGTCTAATGGTTCTCATGGTTATGCATAACTCCAAAGTGTATGAAGTGGTTGCTTCAGGGAGTTTACAGTCTTGGTGGAGGCAATAAATGCATGGCAGATGACAAAAGACCACAATTCTGAAAACATGATTTCAAGGGTCTTTAATTTGACTTGTGTCTTACTTTACTGCTATTGTATAGTTTCATCTTTGTTCTCTAAGTGTACAGAATGACCTTTTTTTTATACAAAGTTTTTTTTTTTTTTTATCAATAAAGATTTAACCAGTATTTTGTCTGACTTATTTTTAGCCTCCAAAAACAAACCGGTGTTCCATGTTGCCTATGGTGGAGTTGCTGTGTGGTTTTGGGTTTTCTTTTTTGAACATGTATTTATTTTTCTTGTTTAAAATAAAGTATTTGAAAAATTTAACACCCCCTAAAATGTCTATGTTTTATGTGCTTCACATTCTTCCTTTAGTCACTTCAAGTTCTGATGTGACTTGGAAAAGGAGCGCAAGCTAGGAAAAAGCCCCTACACCTTTTTCTAAAGAAACATGTTGTAAAGGAAGAGAGAAAGACAACATCATAGTTGCAAGAAGGTGACTGACTCTCTTTGAAGATGCTTGAAATCACAGAAGAAAGAGATACTGTAGCCCTATTATTTTATACATCTGAAATACCAGATTCAGGAAACACTGTGGAAAAGAAGCGACAAGTTTCCATGTTACTCATTGAGCTTAAACTGCTTCTGTCCTTGCAGAGCCAAAACTTGGGTTACAGAACAGGTTTAATGAGCTGGTAAGCTCTCAAAACCTACAAAACACCTCTTGAACCAAAACACAATTATTTTTCAGGGAGTGGTGAGGGAAGGAAGGCTGCATGTTGTTTACTTTCATCTGCTTAGGCCCTATGAACAACTTGTTTTTGTAATGGCATCAATGTGATAGAAATCTCCGCTCTAGAGAAGTGTTCTCATGCCATCCACATCCTCTTCTACTGTGATTGGCTCAGCATTTGGGCAGCACCCCTGCCAACTCAGAGTGATTTGTGCCAGTTCTTCAAAGTATGCAATGGGCTGGCTCCATGAATTTAGTATCTAATGTTGCTATAACAAACTCAGAGGATATAGGTAAAAGGGACATGAAAGTGCTTACAAACAAAGGGCTGCAGTTTTTTTTATGTCTCATTAATAGGGAAATGTTAGTTTTATTGATTTAAATGCTAATTCAATGCATCTTTGAGAGGAGGGGAAAGCCAAAATTTAATTGATCTAAAGAGATGCTGAGATAAATAGGAAGGGGAAGCTATTTTGTATAGTATAAATGTCATTTAGAATAAGGAAAATAGAAAAACAGTATGATTTCATATGCCATTCTGGGCAAGATGTACAAATGTTTGATCAATGATTAATTGTAATAGAAAAGAAACCCTTTTTAGCTTTTTGCTGTTCTAATGTCTATAAGTAGAGTAGAGATCTATTTTAAATTAATCTATATATTGTAATCCATCTGGAAAAAAATAAGTACTAGACACAAGAATTGTGCCAGCATATAAATACCAAGTAAGATCCAACTATCATAACCACATTAGGAGTGGAGAGCTGGCCTTGAGAAAGATTTTTCTTTTTCTTTACCTTAAGCACATGTATAGCAATGATACTTAATAACAGACTTGCATTCCTTTCCTAAAAGGAAATTTAAGTCATAGTGTCCTGCTCCTGGTACTATCCCATTTGAAAGTTAAAATAGAAGAAAATTCTTGTACCATTTGTTTTGGTTCAAGAAGCATGACATCTGCCTGTTCTGCACGTTTAGAGAGAGAAATTTGTAATAATGAATTTTTTTCCCCAGTTTTTATTTGGAAGAAATAGTGTAAATTTCTACACTATTTTTCTAGAGTTTTCTTGTGAGGTAAGCAATACTGCATATTGTGGATGGACAATAGTGAGGATTAACTCTACAGTCTGTAGCTATTGCAGTGAAATGGGATTTTTTTAATATATATTTGCTTTTTCTATGAAAGCAAGAATGATAAATGGATGAAGATACATACAACAGGTTTTCAAGGTAAGAATGAAGAGAAAAAACTAACAGCAAATTAAACTAATTTTGAGTTTTTAGGAGCCAGTAATATCCTTGTAATTTTTTGGTTAGGGTTAATTCTCTTTGTGATATTTCAACATCCTGATGCTTGAAAATAGTTGCAACTCCCTTTTCATTTTTTTTTCATTATCTTAAATAATAGTTCATTTTTTCTTCTTGAAAGAAGGCTCTCTGTTATTATCACTTCTCAACTCTTCTATGAAGGAAAACCCAAGCAGGGTTTACTCAGACATTTCTACCAGGATTAATATTGTTTGCAAAACATTTCTCGGGTTATTGCACATACAGCTGCTGACTGAAAATTTTGACCATGACCACGTTCATTGCCCTGGCTGACTCTTCATTGATAGAGGGATTCTGTCAGATTTCTTTTGTCATGTGCTCTGTCGTATGCCATTTTAAGCTGTTCTGGCAGTAGCAGATGTGAAATATACTTTTTGTAATCACTGGAAGATAGGTTTTTGTAATAGAAAGAAGCTATCACTACTAAGGAAGAGGATCAGATCAGTGTTTTGGGAGGGAGTTGTGGAAAACATTTTTTTCCTTTTTTTCCACTTCCATCCCTCTCAGAAACTGTGGGGAAAGAAATTGCTGTTTCCCAGCTGTATATGAAAAAAGAGAAGATTCAGCTCCCACTTACAGTTCTTGATGGTATATTTAGAGACACTCTATTGACTTTTTCTGAAAAAAAAATTATAAAAGTGCTTGTAGTCGAAATGACAGAACATGATCTGGGCTGAGATATAATGTTAGAACAGCTCATAAAAGGAATTAAAAAGGGCCTGTACACTGAAAAAGTTGTTTTTCTTAGCTATGTCAACCGCTGTGTCTCCTTCAAACTCAACCATCTTTGGCATCAACAAAATTAATTTTCGTTTATACCTGTAATACAGAAGACATAATCTCACTTGTTTATTTGAGGTAACACCAGTGGGACAAAGATAAAACTGTTTTGTCAGTTTGTAGAGGAGAACCAAGGTACAGATTGATGTTAGCCACCTCAAGGGGATCATCTGCAGGACAGACTGAAGCCTGGATGTGCAGGAAAAATCCAGCAATACTGGAAGTAGCTTTTCAGAAAGGTATTCTGATTTTGTTTCCTTTTCCTTTTGTTTTGTTCTGTTTTCTGTTGCTCATTTTGCACAAAGTGAAAAATCACTTCATCCTGACTTTGAAGTAGTCAGGGATGAAGAGTTTGTAAAACAGTCTAAAGGTAAAATAAACTTTTGTGGTTGATCACTTTCATCTTTAAAGATCTTTCCCACTGGTACCAACTTGAATTTCTGTGTGAACAGCAGATCAGGTGCTAGTCAGAAATGCACAATCTAAATAACAAGTTAAGTTTTAAAGTGCTGATTCCACCTTCTCTTCAAGGATCTGTCTGAAGATGTTCCATAATTTTGTTTACTATCCAGCTACACTGACATTGAGAAGTATTTCAGCCCTGTAGAAATGGATCAATAGGTGGAAACAGCTGGAGATGTGCTTTTTGCTTCTGTGAGTCAAAGCTAAAGGCCAGGTTCCCAGAGTATGTTTTGGACTCTAGTTTACAGACTATTGCTAAGTGAGCCAAATGAGAAGGAAAAAGTGCAGTATTCCCTGCACTTTTGTGCAGTATTGGCATGACATCAAACTGTTAGCCAGTTTGAAGTCTTGTATCCTGAACTGCCACCCAATTCACTTTGAAATGAAATTTAATGAGTAAATTCCTTAATATCTAAAAAATTTAATATGTTTAAAGAGTTCTACTTATCAAAACTAAAGACTTGTATGAAATAACACAAGAATTCCCATTTTTGAAATCCAATTTTAAAATGACTTTTATTTTAAAAATGACTTTTAATCATCTCTTTGATAAAATGTATTGTACATTGTTTTTGGTTTTAATTCCATTATTACACATTATTTCATTACAT